TGGTAAACCATCTCAACAATAATTTTCAGACTACGAGGCCTACATGACAAACAATTGCAAAGATCACACTCATCGCCAGGATTACTATCATTATGACATCAATGAGCTGAAATATGCATTAAATTATTCAACAAGTTTAATGTTATTTTGTTGAGTGTTCTGTTGTACAGCAAAGAAATAAATCTATATAATAATTGTTAAGTTTATTATTAATTATCATTTGCATCATTAATATCATAGTGGTATCATAACGATGAAAACGATTCAATGTGTTTCCGGTTGCTTGACATGGTTAAGATGTTTAATGTTGATATGGTTAATATATCTGGAAGAATATATTAACGTCCGTCAATAATATTGATGAAAAAAGATGTATGTAATAAATTAATTTTATAGAGAAAATACTTGTATATATTGCGATTTGGTACTGAACCTATGAAACGATTTGCGTGGAAATTGTATGCTTGCTTTAGGAGGCATGCGATGTATAGACGTATATTTTAAATACACACTACATGTCTAATAACATTTTGACAAAAACTAAATTCTATATAACAGTTTCCTATCAAATGCAATACAGTAAGTTCAGATTGAGATGTCAGCATTTAAATATTTTTAATATTTAAATGTATTTATATTTAAATAAAATTAAATATTTATATATAAATAAAATAAAAAAATATATTTTTTTTGTGAATACTCTATACAGACGTTAGCTGGAAGGAATAGAGTTGGATGGGAAGGGGCCACGACTCGCCGAGCCAAAGCATCCATTTTATAAATATTGTCGGTTCTTTCCTCTGATGCAAATATGGGTAATATATGATAATATTTACTAAGACTCGCATTAATGCAAGGTTAAAGTGATATTAGTTTAAAAGTAGAGTATTCTGAGTGTTGATGAAATATATTTACTGACAATTTTAGACGAAAAAATTTATATCAGCCCACGAGGGCTAGTTCACTGTACTCACCTATTTGTGTTTGCGGGGGTTACGCTCTGGCTCTTTGGTACCGCCTCTCAACTGTCAATCAACTGGTGTACAGATTCCTGAGCCTACTGGGCTCTTTCATATCTACATTTGAAACTTTGTATGGAGTCAACCTCCACCACATCACTGCCTAATGCATTCCATCTGTTAACTCAGTTTCCACCTCTGTCCCCTTGTTCGTGTACCACCCGTGTTAAACAGTTTATCTTTATCTACCCGAATGGAGCCAATTGGCCGAGCGGACAGCACGCTTTACACGTGATCCTGTGGCCCCGGGTTCGATCCCGGGCTTCGGCGAGAAACGATGGGCAGAGTTTCTTTCACCCTATGCCCCTGTTACATAGCAGTAAATAGGTACCTGGGAGTTAGTCAGCTGTCACGGACTGCTTCCTGGGGGTGGCGGCCTGTTTGAGGACCAGACCGCGGGGACACTAAAGCCCCGAAATCAACTCAAGATAACCTCAAGATGGAGTATATAGGGTATAAATTAAAGAGAGGAAAAATGTGGATAATAGAATAAAAGAACACAATAAGTATTGAATAATAAATAACTGTTCATATGAGTATTAAAGGGAGTTTTATAACACATTAAGTATAGTTACTCAGAATTTGTCAGGATACGCATGAGAATAACAATAAAAACAATGTTTCAAGAATTGTAGGAACATCAGGAGTTTGTATCAAGTGTGACCATCACGCCTCAACACGGAAGATTTCACTGACGCCTTTGAGATAAATTTAGCTCTGATGGCTTCGTGCCGCAGCTAATTTGTCAAACAGAATGTTTAATATTATTGTGCAATATATATATATATATATATATATATATATATATATATATATATATATATATATATATATATATATATATATATATATATATATATATATATATATATATATATATATATATATATATATATATATATATATATATATGTATATATATATATATATATATATATATATATATATATATATATATATATATATATATATATATATATATATATATATATATATATATATATATATATATATATATATATATATATATATATATATATATATATATATATTGATACTGATATATATACTGATACTGATACTGAGAGATTCAGCAGGAATACACGATCCTGCTTTCACTGAATATTCAAATCAGTGGGATGTTCTTGCAGCCCCAGCAACCATTATAGAGCCAAAAAAAACAACATAAACAAATACGGCTGGGAACACCCTGTAGTGGAAAAAGTAGCTGATGCCATGCTCAACATCGCAACATCAGACAAGGAGAAAGCCCGTGTCAGAGCAGTGCGTGCCCCCCATGCAGGAGACTTCCTTCTGGCAGTACCCATGTCAGCAATGGGCACACGCCTAGATCCAGAATCCCTTCGTGTAGCAGTGGCCCTCCCCCTTGGTGCCCCAATTCACACTGAATACAAGTGTATTTGCAACAGAGTGGAAGCAGACCAATACGGACTGCATGGGTTGCATTGCGGAAGCACAAAGAGCTGGCATGCAAGACACAACGAGGTCAATGACATCATCAAGAGAAACCTCGTCTCAGCTAGGTGCCCAGCGGAGAGAGAACATCGCATCCTAGGTGTCCAAAACCTGGATTTCCCTGCACTTCGCCCTGATGGCATCACCATATACTCCTGGAAGGAGGGTAGACAGTTGGTGTGGGACTACACATGTGTATCCACCTTGGCTGACACCTATGTACACTTTGGAGCTGATCACGCAGGTGGGGCGGCCAACCACAGGGAAACAGCAAAATCACTCAAGTACAGGAGACTGGAAGGTCAATACCTCTTTGTTCCCATAGCGTCTCAGACGCATGGCCCCTGGGGCAAGAGTGCCTTGGGATTTCTCAAGGAATTAGGTTCCAAGCTCATTGACGTCACCAGATACCCAAGAACTTCCAGTGTTTTGTTTCAGCGTCTCAGTGTGGCGATCCAGAGGGGAAATGCTTGCTGCGTCCTCCGTTCCTGTCCGGAAGCGGAGGAGCTTCAAGAGATCCATAACCTTTAGGCATTTGTCTTGTATGTTTTGTAACCTTTAAATACACAATAAAGAACAAAAAAAAAAAAGGAAGGGGGTGGTAGGAGAAAAGCACACAAACTGTATTGGAGGGGACCTACATTCCCTCCAATGCGTTATGTGTGGTTTCCTCCAAGGTTATGGGTCCCCGTTCTTCCAGCCAGAGGTGGTACTCCCGTTCCTTCCCTATTAATATATATATATATATATATATATATATATATATATATATATATATATATATATATATATATATATATATATATATATATATATATATATATATATATATATATATATATATATATATATATATATATATATATTTATTATATATATATATATATATTATTAAATATGACCAAAAAAGTAAGATTAATAATTCTAACACGAATTTTCTCCATCTTTCGTACATTTCATTTCACTGTTGGTGGTAATTAAAAAATCAATTCTCCAAAATTCATTTTTATTTCTAGTCTGACGCGACACTTGAGCGCGTTTCGTAAAACTTATTACATTTTCAAAAACTGTTTCGTGTTCTGTCTTGTGTTTAGGAATTTATTACCCTGTTAATACCACCTCACCCCATCCACCTCACTCAAATGTAGATATAAAGGAATCGAAGTTGTGTAAGTTCTATTCAGTTGTGTATGTGTAAACTAAAGTCTTTGAAAATGTAGTAAGTTTTATGAAACGCGCTCAAGTGTCGCGTCAGACTAGAAATAAAAATGAATTTTGGAGAATTTATTTTTGAATTACCACCAACAGTGAAAAGAACCGTACGGAAGATCGAGAAAATTCGTGTTAGAATTATTAATCTTACTTTTTCGGTCATATTTAATAATGTATGTCTACAGGGAAGACTGCTACCAAAATATACTAATATTAAAACGCACGACCCAGCAGCAAGGAATCAAGCCTTCACGATAAAATATCGCCAGGATCTGATTCGTGATCAGATATACAAGGCAGAAAATGAAATCAAAGACAACAAAACGCAACTACTTCATGCTACAAACGAATGGAGAAATAGCAACATCGACGAAAGTCTCCGTACCCGCATTGAACAACATCTCGACTACCTCACACACCGACATCACCTCAGCACTGAAACAAGGATCATCAAGAAACTAACAACGTTATATGGAGGACCTATGGCAATTCCACGACCAAGAGATAGCTTCCTGAACCTTGCAGGAATTAACCTCACTGATGACCAAGTCACTCTCCTAAATCTAGGTATAAACTGTCAAGTTATGTCCAGACCGAGTGAGATGGCCCGGAAAGTGGAGTTGGAAATTCTGTTGGACGACATATTCGACCTCGAGACACAAAAGAAGGTCACTACCAAAGATACCTTACAAGCAGAACTTATTGCGGAAGGAGGAAAGAATCGAGGCAACTACAGAAGCACCATACTGTCCCCCGAGCTCAAAGCGGCAGCTAAAAGCCTTCGTGAGAACAAGGAGATAGTTGTCAGGAGAGGTGACAAGTCGCCAATATACGTCATTCTTAAAAAAGACGAATATCTGGCGCAAATTTACATTTGCCTAACACTACATTACTTGAAAAGTCTAGCACATGTTGGAATAAAGTTAGGTTTAAGACTTTTAAACCGAGGGAAGTACTAAAGCTACAACATGAGATTACTTGCCAACCACTAATCATATTTCAGTATGGAAATATTTACCAAGGTAAACTATCCCTGTATATACCAAGTATGCAGTACTTGCTAAGATTAACAAGGAATCGTAAACAGTGCATTGTCTTAACGAAAAGTAAAACATATTAAATATTTAATATTTAACATTTAACTAGGGTTTTATATTTGTTAACCTAAAGGAAAATCTTATAATATAATATGTAATTGATTATATATGGAAAAAAATAATAAAATAAAGAGATAAGAAACATATTAATTACAGCTTTCTCAGTGGAACGTCACTATAACATTGAGATACGATTCAAGGACTCAAGACTCTCCGGTATAAAAGCCCGGCATCACTGCTGCAAGACACACTCGCTCAGCTGTGGCCACAGCTAACCAACTTTCAGCCATGAAGCTCTTGGTAAGTTGCACTAACAATCGGACTCTCTGATATTGGTTAATATTTAATGTAATGTATTACATAAAATATCAAGGAAAGTAGTAGTCTTTTCGAAGAATATTTCATTTACGCGAATGAAAATATAGTACTTTACTGCTAAATATTATATGACTGTACGTGTGATTTTTCATATTTAGGTGCTTGTGATCCTGGCGGCTGCCGCTTGCGCTTCTGAGATTGAGAAGCGAGATGCAGAGCCCAGTTACGTGACGAGCAATTACGGTAGTGCTTACCCAGCATACAGTCACCGTTACCACAATGGAAAGAGGTCTGCCGAGCCAGAGCCTGAACCATCATACCCAATTTATTCCTCCGGCCTTCGACATGGTTATGATCGTCATTACTACAAGAGGTCTGCCGAACCAGAGCCTGAACCATCGTATCCTCTCTACTACGCTCCCCGTCATGGTTATCGCCGCCATTTCTACAAGAGGTCTGCAGATCCTGAACCATCCTACTCAGTCTTCTCTAATTATGGTTACCGGCCACTAAACTATTATAGTCAACACTATTACTAGATTTCTGCTGACCTAAATGACACCATCTCTACTTACATTTAGGTCTATGGGAAATCAAACTATATGGTAAACCATCTCAACAATAATTTTCAGACTACGAGGCCTACATGACAAACAATTGCAAAGATCACACTCATCGCCAGGATTACTATCATTATGACATCAATGAGCTGAAATATGCATTAAATTATTCAACAAGTTTAATGTTATTTTGTTGAGTGTTCTGTTGTACAGCAAAGAAATAAATCTATATAATAATTGTTAAGTTTATTATTAATTATCATTTGCATCATTAATATCATAGTGGTATCATAACGATGAAAACGATTCAATGTGTTTCCGGTTGCTTGACATGGTTAAGATGTTTAATGTTGATATGGTTAATATATCTGGAAGAATATATTAACTTCCGTCAATAATATTGATGAAAAAAGATGTATGTAATTAATTAATTTTATAGAGAAAATACTTGTATATATTGCGATTTGGTACTGAACCTATGAAACGATTTCCGTGGAAATTGTATGCTTGCTTTAGGAGGCATGCGATGTATAGACGTATATTTTAAATACACACTACATGTCTAATAACATTTTGACAAAAACTAAATTCTATATAACAGTTTCCTATCAAATACAATACAGTAAGTTCAGATTGAGATGTCAGCATTTAAATATTTTTAATATTTAAATGTATTTATATTTAAATAAAATTAAATATTTATATTTTAATAAAATAAAAAATTATATATTTTTTTATGTATACTCTATACAGACGTTAGCTAGATGGAATAGAGTTGGATGGGAAGGGGCCACGACTCGCCGAGCCAAAGCATCCATTTTATAAATATTGTCGGTTCTTTCCTCTGATGCAAATATGGGTAATATATGATAATATTTACTAAGACTCGCATTAATGCAAGGTTAAAGTAATATTAGTTTATAAGTAGAGTATTCTGAGTGTTGATGAAATATATTTACTGACAATTTTAGACGAAAAAATTTATATCAGCCCACGGGGGCTAGTTCACTGTACTCACCTATTTGTGTTTGCGGGGGTTACGCTCTGGCTCTTTGGTACCGCCTCTCAACTGTCAATCAACTGGTGTACAGATTCCTGAGCCTACTGGGCTCTTTCATATCTACATTTGAAACTTTGTATGGAGTCAACCTCCACCACATCACTGCCTAATGCATTCCATCTGTTAACTCAGTTTCCACCTCTGTCCCCTTGTTCGTGTACCACCCGTGTTAAACAGTTTATCTTTATCTACCCGAATGGAGCCAATTGGCCGAGCGGACAGCACGCTTTACACGTGATCCTGTGGCCCCGGGTTCGATCTCGGGCTTCGGCGAGAAACGATGGGCAGAGTTTCTTTCACCCTATGCCCCTGTTACATAGCAGTAAATAGGTACCTGGGAGTTAGTCAGCTGTCACGGACTGCTTCCTGGGGGTGGCGGCCTGTTTGAGGACCAGACCGCGGGGACACTAAAGCCCCGAAATCAACTCAAGATAACCTCAAGATGGAGTATATAGGGTATAAATTAAAGAGAGGAAAAATGTGGATAATATAAAAGAACACAATAAGTATTGAATAATAAATAACTGTTCATATGAGTGTTAAAGTGAGTTTTATAACACATTAAGTATAGTTACTCAGAATTTGTCAGGATACGCATGAGAATAACAATAAAAACTATGTTTCAAGAATTGTAGGAAATTCAGGAGTTTGTATCAAGTGTGACCATCACGCCTCAACACGGAAGATTTCACTGACGCCTTTGAGATAAATTTAGCTCTGATGGCTTCGTGCCGCAGCTAATTTGTCAAACAGAATGTTTAATATTATTGTGCAATATATATAAATATATATATATATATATATATATATATATATATATATATATATATATATATATATATATATATATATATATATATATATATATATATATATATATATATATATATATATATATATATATATATATATATATATATATATATATATATATATATATATATATATATATATATATATATATATATATATATATATGATACTGATATATATACTGATATATATACTGATACTGATACTGAGAGATTCAGCAGGAATACACGATCCTGCTTTCACTGAATGTTCAAATCAGTGGGATGTTCTTGCAGCCCCAGCAACCATTATAGAGCCAACAAAACAACATAACAATCCGGCTGGGAACACCCTGTAGTGGAAAAAGTAGCTGATGCCATGCTCAACATCGCAACATCAGACAAGGAGAAAGCCCGTGTCAGAGCAGTACATGCCCCCCATGCAGGAGACTTCCTCCTGGCAGTACCCATGTCAGCAATGGTGTGACAATAATCTCCTTCAAGAGATTGAGCCTGCTCTTCCCTCCACAATTACGTCGATACAACTATATAAAACTTCTATGGAAGAAATGTCCAACAACGACAACAACATCTCCAAGGTTTGCCAGAGCGCAAAACGTATGCAGCCAGGAACGCCTGCTCAGACTCAAACCGCCAAACTACCCGTCTTGCTGCCGGCTCCTCTGATTGGTCGCCGGTCGGGCTGCAACTGCACTCCACCCCCCCATACTACTTGATGTCTGGGGCCGCCACGACCTCAGTCCTCAGAATATTCCGTGCTTTCACAGTTAACACTTCTCTCTGCTAGACGTAAGCTTTAGCGTACGTATACTGAGAGAGGTGATAGCATAAAGCCAATATTCCAGCACCTTTCATATACTTGTATATTGCACTTCTTGTTATTTTGTCTTAACGTAACTTTTCATTGTGTCATTTAATTATTCTTATTATTTTGATTGATTGATTTTATTATACGAATTTGTTTGTCCATTTTATTCATGTTTTATTTCTTTAACGTAATTAAAATTTCATTGTTAAAGTTTACTTGTGTTTTGTGTGTCTTCTCCTTACCTTACCACAGACGAAGTTCCAGATTTTCTATTTTTTTTAATACTATGTGACGAGGCCATACCCCTAGCTTTGAACAGCCTAACACCAACGCGTTACCGTCACAAATGGGCACACGCCTAGATCCAGAATCTCTTCGTGCAGCAGTGGCCCTCCGCCTTGGTGCCCCAATTCACACTGAATACAAGTGTATTTGCAACAGAGTGGAAGCAGACCAATACGGACTGCATGGGTTGCATTGCGGAAGCACAAAGAGCTGGCATGCAAGACACAACGAGGTCAATGACATCATCAAGAGAAACCTCGTCTCAGCTAGGTGCCCAGCGGAGAGAAAACCTCGCATCCTAGGCGTCCAAAACCTGGATTTCCCTGCACTTCGCCCTGATGGCATCACCATATACTCCTGGAAGGAGGGTAGACAGTTGGTGTGGGACTACACATGTGTATCAACCTTGGCTGACACCTATGTACACTTCGGAGCTGATCACGCAGGTGGGGCGGCCAACCACAGGGAAACAGCAAAATCACTCAAGTACAGGCGACTGGAAGGTCAATACCTCATTGTTCCAATAGCGTCTCAGACGCATGGCCCCTGGGGCAAGAGTGCCTTGGGATTTCTCAAGGAATTAGGTTCCAAGCTCATTGACGTCACCAGAGACCCAAGAGCTTCCAGTTTTTTGTTTCAGCGTCTCAGTTTGGCGATCCAGAGGGGAAATGCTTGCTGCGTCCTCCGTTCCTGTCCGGAAGCGGAGGAGCTTCAAGAGATCCATAACCTTTAGGCATTTGTCTTGTATGTTTTGTAACCTTTAAATACACAATAAAGCAAAAAAAAAAAAAAAAAAAAAAGGAAGGGGTGGTAGGAGAAAAGCACACAGAAACTGTATTGGAGGGGACCTACATTCCCTCCAATGCGTTATGTGTGGTTTCCTCCGAGGCAATGGGTCCCCCTTATGGGTACTCCCTTCCCTATTAATATATATATATATATATATATATATATATATATATATATATATATATATATATATATATATATATATATATATATATATATATATATATATATATTTTTTTTTTTTTTTTTAATACAATAGGGAAGGGAGTACCACCTCTGGCTGGAAGAAGGGGGACCCATAGCCTCGGAGGAAACCACACATAACGCATTGGAGGGAATGTGGGTATATATATATATATATATATATATATATATATATATATATATATATATATATATATATATATATATATATATATATATATATATATATATTGTGACGATAATCTCCTTCAAGAGATTGAGCCTGCTCTTCCCTCCAAAATTACGTCTTCACAATTATATAAAAAGACTATGGAAGAAATGTCCAACAACGACAACAACACCAGCAAGGCTTGCAAGGGTGAGCAGAAACGTATGCAGCCCGCCACCTGTTCGGACCCAAATCACCAAACTACCCGTTGATCGCTACGGCTCCGCTGATTGGTCGCCGGTCTGGCTGCACCTGCACTCGCCCCCCAATACTACCCGATGTCTGGGGTCGCCCCAACATCAGTCTTCAGAATGTTCCGTGCTTTCGTAGCCAGCACACCTCCCAGCTAGACTCTAGAGTGTACTGAGAGAGGTGGTGGCTTTAAGCCAATATTCCAGCACCTCCCACTTACTGTTGTATTGCACTTCTTGTTATTTTGCCTTAACGTAACTTTTCATTGTGTCATTTAAGTATTCTTATTATTTTGATTCATTGATTTTATTATACATATTTGTTTGTGCATTATTTTCATGTTTTGATTTATTTAACGTAATTAAAATTTCATTGTTAAAGTTTACTTGTGTTTTGTGTGTCTTCTCCTTACCTTACCACAGACGAAGTTCCAGTTTTTCTATTTTTTTTTATAACTATGTGACGAGGCCATACCCCTAGCCTTAAACAGCCGAACACCAACGCGTTACCGTCACAAGTTATATGGGGGCCTGTCCGGGAGCCTCACTCAGGTACTGGTGCCAAGTGGTAATTTATGGTAAGCGTATTTAACTCTGTTAACGTAGCTTTACTATTTTTCATTCAATTTCATTTTTTATAAGGTGCGGTGTATTGTGCATTACGAGAGTAACATATAGTGAAGGTGAGACAACTTTGGATTACGTGGTGACTGTAGGCCTCAGTCATACTCTTAATTGGTCATCTCTCCCTCCATGTTATTACTCGTATTTACCATCTATGTCCCTTGAATATTTCTCATTCTGACAGATCATCATATTGGTACCCTGGTACTGTGGTCTGCCCCGGGTCAAGAGTACCCAATCTTCTGCAATCTGACTGT